CGCTTTGCTTCTCTGCAGCAAGCTCAGGTGGGAGTCTGCACGCCACACACACACACACACACACACACACACACACGGATGTGTACCTGCGTGCCTGCATGCATGCATCTGTGTAAACACACATGCATATGCGTGTATGACAGTATCGCAGCCCCGATGCCAGTCATCGAGGGGAACATACATGTCAGGGCATCCAAGCCCCTGGATGCTTCTCCCCCCGAGTTGACAGCTTCCCTTTGTCTGACCTTTGGCCCCGGCAGTGAGGACGCTGCCCCTGTGGCTGCTGCCTCTGTGCGTCATCGCTGTCACACTGCCCCAGGGTTTTCCCGCGGGCAGGGAATGGTGACAGGCAGAGGAAAGCTGACTTCGCAGAGCTGCCGGGGATTGCCACCAGTGGGATTCCACGGGGTCCGCCCGCCTCGGGATCCCTGGGAGTATCCCAGGGCCTGGGGCGCCACGGGGCGGCTGCTGACCCGGGTGTTCTGTGTCCAGGACCTCGTTTCCTGCCTGGGGGGCCCCGTCCTCAGCGGGGTGTGCCGGCGCCTGGCCGAGGACTTCCGACACTGCCGAGGCGGCCTCCCTGACCTGGTGGTGTGGAGCTCCCAGGACCGTCGCTGCAAGGTCAGTGGAGCCCAAATGGAAGGGCGTACCTGTGACCTGATGAGCGGCCTCATCCAAGGCCACAATCTAATAGCCTTTTCTCGCCTGGTTGCTGGGAAGACTGAACCCCTAGAGAACGCCTGGACCGAGGGCCAGGGCTCCTCGGTGGTGGCGGGTGGCGGAGGCCGCCCCGTTCCCTGCGCGTGGGCCTCCACGGGGCAGCGTCTCCTCACCTGGTCCCCATTCCGTTCCGTCCTCTGTGCTGTGTTCTGTTAGTAGAAGGGAGACCTCTGTAGGGTGTGCACGCGGGGGGCCCGGAGGCGGGGAGCGGTGTTTGAAGCAGCTCCCGCGTTGTGGGCGAGGCACCTCCCTTGCCTCGCAGGTGGGGTTGCCTTCTTGTGAGTTTTGCAACTGAGTTTTAATTCTGGATACAAGTCCTTTATCAGATATACTTCGCCCCAGTCTGTGCCTTGGTTCTTCGTTCTCTCACTACTGTCTTTTCAAGAGCAGGAGTTTTAAATGTCGACAGTGGTGCAGTGGGGCGAGCCATTTAAATACCTAGTGGAAACTCCTCCAGCTTGTTTGGTGGCTGTTCCGTTTCCGGAGACTAATTCCTTGGAAACTGCTCTTCCAGCTGGTGGAAGTCAAGGGCCCCAACGACCGCCTTTCGCACAAGCAGATGGTCTGGCTGGACGAGCTGCAGAGGCTGGGGGCCGACGTTGAGGTCTGCCACGTCACGGCAGTCGGAGCCAAGAGCAGAGGCCTTCACTGAGCTGTGGGTGGAGTCTCTGGTCACACGCGGGGCTAAGATTCTCAAAAGCATGAGTGTCATCGATTGCGTTTCATTTTTATTTTGATACTGTCAGCAATAAACCGGATGGTAAACTGGGTACTGGCTTGAGGACACACATTGATCGCACACAGCAGGTCGTGAAATTTTGAAATGATGAAAACCTTAGTGGCCATTTTAGGATTGGAAACATCTAAGTTGCAAAAAAAAAAAAAAAAAAAGCCGAAAAAGAAACCACCACCAACAAATGAGACCACTCACAGCTTTTATAAAAGCAGCCGCACAGGGTTTCCTCCTCCTTTTATAATTACCCAAGAGAATACGCAGTGGAAATTCTGATTTCTTTAGCAATGAGAACACAGATTCTGAGAACGTTCCTTAGTACATCGGTCAGTGCTCACTCTTACTCATTGGGCCCATGTCCCCAAAGGACTGACCAGTCTTTATCAAGGGCAAGGGTCCCTTTCTGGGAGCATCCCTCATGACCAGACGGGGGTAATTTTCTGTGCAGACAGAATCACGGAAGCAGGGCTGCTCCGCCACTGTGGGAAGCCGTAGGCTGGGGAAGGCAGGCCTAGGAGGCAGGGCTTGGGGTCCCGGTCTCCCCCGCCCCCCCCCAGTCGTCCTGGGACCGTAAGGGAATGTTACTCCCAGCCTTTTAATTTATTAGATGGAATGACATGGTCAGTACCCGCATGGCCTTCACTCAGCCAGTTCTGAAGTGACGTTAAAGATGTCAGGGATCAGCCCTGGCCGGTTTGGCTCAGGGGATGGAGCGTCAGCCTGTGGACTGAAGGGTCCCAGGTTCGATTCCGGCCAAGGGCACATGGCTGGGTTGCGGGCTCGATCCCCAGTAGGGGGTGTGCAGGAGGCAGCCGATCAATGATTCTCATCATTGATGTTTCTCTCTCTCCTCCCTTCCTCTCTGAAATCAATAAAGAAATATATTTTTTTTAAAAAAAGATGTCAGGGATCACTGTCAGCTTTAGAAGCAGGAATGCTGAGTGCATCTCTCCCCGTCTCTCACACACACACACACACACACACACACACACACACAGACATGCGTGCGCGCACAGACGGCTGGAAGGAAATGCCTTGGCTTCCTGAGCCACTGTTCTCAGAGATGACGTCACACTGAGACCACGACCAGCTATTCTGTGGAGTTTATTCGCAGTCGGAACTCCCCTCACATTCGTCCTGTTGGACAGGCCTCCCTTCCTGCTCCTCTACTTCACCTCAAGTCAGTCCACTCCAGGCACAAAGGGGTGCGCTTTCTCTAAGTCCAGTTTAGCTGCTTGCGTTCCGGCTGCAGCAGGCCGGCCGCTGACGGGTGTGCTCGATGGTCCCACCCCTTAGCCCGGTTAATATACTTCTCTTAAATAAAGTTAGACATTTTTGGTTTTAAAATTGGTTTCATCATGAAGTAACAGTAAGACATTATACATCTTTAAGTGCCTACCAGGAAGTCCAGGCTGTGTGACAGCGCGGCCCAGGCTTTGCACGCAGGGGTGCGGGCCGAGGGGGGAGCTCGTTGGCACGGCGCACAGCACCCCCGGGGGCCCTGTCGCCCGTCCGCGGTGCTCCGAGGTGCCAGGCAGCGCGAGGGCCAGGACTGAGGCTGCTAGTTGTTCTCATATTATGCCCAGTGAGCTGTGGCACAATAATCATGACACAACAACTGTCCAGCAAAATACAATGAAAAACCACACTTTACATTTGATTATCACACAAACACGCACATTTCCTCTCTGAAACAGTGTTAATAGTACCTAGTTGTTGTTTAAGTTGCAAATCAAAACATGACCGAGGGAGCTGGGATAAATGTGTGAAGGAGAAAACGAGAGGTGGACATCGGAGCCCTCGCCAGGGGAACAAGTTCACGCCGTCACCGTAAGGAAGCAGCTTCAGGACGGGGGAGTCAGTGCGCGCCCACGGCAGGGCGTTCGCGGTGTCCTGCGGGCGCTGGGGCAGCCTCCCAACGAGGACTACAAGTGTTTAATGGCAGTGACTGTATTTATGTCCACAGAGAAAAGCCCCTTTTCTCTCGGCAGCGAACTGCAGGAACACTGGGTGTGTCCACGAGTCTCCTACGACACTGGAGGAACTTCTGTCCCTTCGATTCCAGACACATTAGCTAACAATTTATAAAAGGCAGGTCATTCAATAGAAACGCCTATTCGTGATGTAAAAGGTAAAAAAGACTTTTGAAAAAACCTGTTTTAGAAAAGGCTGTAAGCTAACTGGACGCTGTTCTATAAAAAACGTGTAAAAGCTCAGGACGGCAGTTTTAACAAAGTAACAGCCGAACTTGGGAACATTCATCCTTTGAGCGGAATGAGGGCGCTGGGGGCCTGGTGCTGACGTCACCACCAGCGTGAGCGGGGCTCTGACCACTCGGCTTTGGCTCTCGCGTGGGCGCTTTAGACCAACGATACACCTCCGCCCGTCCCCTCTGGATACTGCTGTCAGAAGAAAGGGGGGGGGGGGCGGTGTAGAGGCCTCTTGCCATTTATTAAAATGGCAGGATTCTGAGTAGACATTTTTATTTCTCTTGTTCTCTACTCCTAAGTGTTTACAAGCTTTGTCTGAACCCTGGCTGGTTTGGCTCAGTGGATAGAGCGTTGGCCTGCGGACCGAAGGGCCCCGGGTTCGATTCCAGTCAGGGCACATGCCTGGCTTGCGGGCTCCATCCCCAGTGGGGGGTGTGCAGGAGACAGCAGATCAATGATTTTCATCATTGATGTTTTGCTCTCTCTCTCTCCCTTCTTCTCTGAAATTAATTTTAAAATATTAAAAATAAAAAAGGACTTTGTCTGAGGAGGGACTTTTGTGACCCCATTAGTTATTTCCCAGAGAAAGTGCCAACAGTGGACCACACTGGGCACACGGAGGGTCAGCCCTCCTTCTGGGGGTGGCTCTGTGGATGGCGCCGGCCCCTCCCGCCAGGCCGGACCCCACAGACCTGCTGTGTCCTCGGGGACTGCGGGGGGACGGAACGTCGCTTCGGGGACTCCTGCCTGTCGGCACGAACTCGGGGTGAGAAGCCAGTTCCAATATGCAGTGGGATCTGAACCCCCTAACTGCACAAACAAATGACATCGAACTGTGGTGTTCAGACCTTCATGTTAGCGTCAAAGGCACTTCTAAGGTCCATTATATTATCTACAGCAAATGCTTCTTAAAGTTCACAGTGCGCATCGTTTTAAGGTTAGTCCTAAGAAGGTGAGGGCAAACGCCCGACTGTAAGACACAGTGATCTACGGTCCCAAAGTGATGGAATAAGTTACAGTGCTGGACACTGACCCCCGGTGAGTCCAACCAGAGACGACAAAGTGACCAGAAAAAGACACCGATACCTACTGACGCCGGCTGGGGTTAGCGGTGTTCCCTGAACATCGGCTACACACTGACTTCATGCTCTCCTGACCTGTGCTGCTCTGGGTTGCTCATCTGAGGATCAGGAACCCCTCACCAGGCAGCCGGGAGAGTGGGTGCGGACAAAACCTGATTCATGTGATCACAGTAGTAAGTGTGGAATGCCTGCCTGCGAATCAGCAGAAGTGAGCCGGACCTAGGACGACAGAAAAAGGACATCGAGACCAAAATGTACGCCTATCTCCTAAAAACAGTGAGGGAAGCACAACTCAGCATGTTCTTCAACATTAGTGCAAATCTCAATGGTTATTCTCACATATACAATTATTAGGGCTTCAAATGCCTAGGTTAGCGACTTAATTCAGAGGAAAAACGTTCCTAGCTCCTCAGAATGTTCAGAAAATACTCCTTTTTAGTCTTCGTTTGCCAGTGTCTCCGTAGACAGCCAGATTTTGGCCCCGCTTAGAAACTTGCTCAGTGGTGTTCCTGAAATGCTTCGCCTGCAGAGGTTGCCGACAGGGGAGAAGGGAAAGGAGGAGGAGAGGAACTCCGGCGTCCCCGAGGTGTCGTGCGGGCCTCGGGCCCGGAAGTACATCCGGCTCTGGTCCAGCTCCGCGTAGCAGGCCTCCAGTGGGCCGGCCCGGTGCTGCCGCAGCGTCCTGCTCAGCACGTCCACCTCGTCGGCCAGCAGCGAGAGCCGGTGGAAGGCGGTGACGAAGCCCCCACGATCGATCTGGGCCTCGGGGACCCAGCGGAAGTAGCACAGTTTCCAGAGCTTTATGTGCGTGGCCGATAGATGGGGCAGGAGCACGCCGTGCAGGTCGGCCGGTCTGCACAGCCACTCCCGGAAGAACTGCTCCAGGCCGCCGTCCTGGCCCTCGGCGTGCGGAGGCGGGTCTGGCCTCACTTGTAAGATCAGGGAGTTCCTCCGTGGGAGTGATTCCTGGTCACTGAGGAGTCCGTTCCTGAGCGAGGCCGGCATCCCCCGCAGGGTGGAGCTGTAGTTTTTCTGTGCGGGAGAGAGAGGTTAGCACTGTGGCCCCGGCTTCCCTTTAAAAGACAGCAAAGGTGCCACGGCACGCACACCCTCGGTGCCACGGCAAGCACACCCTCGGTGCCACGGCAAGCACGCCCTCGGTGCCACGGCAAGCACGCCCTTGGTGCCACGGGAAACCGGTGGGATCTCGGCCTGAATCTGTCCCTGCCCTCGCGCTGCTCCTCCACTCTGGCTGTGCTTTCCCAGGCCTGACGCCACGAGCCTGCATGGGGGTGGGAGCTGGTATCTACCCATTACTTTGCTGAAGTGCCACTTTCTAAGATTTCTGGCTTGGGACAAATCCATCCGGGCTGATTATAGAAGGAACAAGAGGCCGAGTGGACGGGTCTCGGGAGCGGGGCCTCCAGGCTCAGAGCTGTGATCTGCTGACTCTCGGACGCTGCCCAGGGCTCCGTGGGCCTCGGGTGCCGAGGAGGAAAGCCCGCGTATAGTCAAGTCGGGCAAAAAGTGCACGATCCCGCAGTCTGCCCTGGCAGACTCGTCCTGGGAGGGAGGTGACTTCTAATGCCCTGTGTCTGGACAGGGAGTGTCTGGGAGTGCACGCGTCATTACCTTTGTCCGTTTGAAGGCCTTCACGGAGCTGTTCCGCACGCAGGGCGTGCTCCTCCCGATGTACAGGGGGTTGTGGAAGAGGGTGCGGTCCTTCGCGGTGAACTGGAGAGACCAGTCCCACACCGAGGGGAATTTTAAACCCTTTTCATCACCCAACTGGATATTTTTGCTTATAGCAAATTCCTGCAAGATAAAATGTTTGAATCTCTGAAGAAGATACAAAGATTATCTCGCATGAGTTCCTGGTTTTGGATGGGCCATTCGTGCGTCACCACACAAGCGCTGTCGGACCCCGAGCCACGCAGCCCATGAGCGCGGCACGTCTCCCCTCCAGAGAAGAGGCATCCGGGCACCTCAGGCCTGAGGACACGTCACCCCCTGCGTGAGCGAGCGAGCTCTCTTCCTGAAGACGGAAGGAAGCTGGACCCTGGGCCACAGGGATGTGCTATGCGAAGTAAGATCTCACGCACGTGATACCACAACCGTCCAAGGTGTTTTATAACTGCAGCATCTCACCCAAAAAGCCCATGGCCATACATTCGTGCCATTACCTGTCAGGTGTAACACTGTCCTGGCTGATATGCATAACCCATGGACACGGGCAACAGGGTGGTGAAGGGGCAGGGGGCAGGGGGCAGGGGGCAGGGGTGGGCTGGAGGGCTCCATGGGCGAAAACGGGAGACGTATATAATATTTCCACAATACAGATTTCTTTTTAACAATACAGACTTTTTTTTTAAATGAAAAATAAGAATAAAATAAAGTAAAACTGCGTTTGGATGGAGCCGCTGCCATCTATCTGAGTGGAGAGCCCCCGTCACCTGTCCAGTGACCGCGGTACCTGGACCCCAGCCCGGGAGCAGGGCAGGAGGCATCGTTTAAAGGACGCATTTTAAATGCACGGCCACCTGTCTTCCAGTCGCTCTCGATAAAGTGTTACAACAACGCAGCCACGGCCGCAGCGCCCTCACCGTGCTCTGCTTCACCCGCTGGTGCGGCGAGTTGAACAGGAAGGTGCCGAACAGGGAGATGCGGGTGCTGTCGCCCAGCACGGCCAGGTAGGTCTCGGAGAACTCGAAGGCGGCCGGGTACTGGTCCAGCAGCTGCCAGGTGGCGTCCAGGAACAGCAGGAACAGCGGAGACTGGACGGGGACCACAGGTGGGTTACCGACCGCGTCCCTCCCTTCACACTTCCTTCCAGATCAATCCCTGACGGAGGAGGACACGACTAACAGAGCCCCTGGCCCACAGCCCGGCCCAGCTGAGCTAGGATCTGAGGACAGATGAGGCAGCAGCTCATGTCACACCCGGAAGCTCGTTCGAGGGACCCGCACCGCGGCCCGCACCTGCCTGAGGCGTGCGACGCGGGAGGACGCACGGCGGGCGGTTGGTCCATAGGACGGGGAACAGGGAAATGTGTGGGAGCCTCGCCTGGACACACTGATTGGGAACAAAAACCCACGGGACACCCAGACCAAAACCAGCTTCTATAAACAGCTTTGGTTGGCCCTGCAGGCGCGGCTCCCAGAACCGCCCCGAGTTTCAGGAAATGACTGGCCACAGGCCACAGGCCACAGGCCCAGGCCGTGCCCCAGGGACAGCCAGCTGTGCCTCCTGAAACAGCCGGCAACAAGGCCCTGGCAGGGCCGCCCGCAGCTCCGCTAGGGATCCCAGGCAGCACTGACCCCCAGCCGTGACCAGCGTGACCCTCTACAGTTCCATTCTGTTCCCGTTTTTAACCGTGTCCCCGGGCAGTGGCAGCGCCCTTGACCGGTCAAGGCGGTCACAGCGCCCTGGAATGTTTCTGTGGCAGACGAAGAAAGCCCCGCCCGGGACTGCGGCCGGGCGCAGTGCGTCGGCAACACACCTCCATTTGTAACACAGGCGCCCACGGTACGAAAACGTGACATTCCAAAGCGGGGTTTTCAACAATCTAACGTGCTGGCCACCTGCTCTGCGGAAGAGTGAATGCCTTTCTTTAAGTATTTTCAACTTAGAGAAACTCCACAGCCACTTCTTTAGATTCCACCTGTGCAGCGACAATGACCTTCAGCACATCCCCCACGTGGGCTCGAATCCAGTCGTCGGTCCCGGACTGCGAGCTGCAGCGTGTTACGTGCAGCATTTAAAAAGTTCCCCCGTCACCCAGCCGGTGTGGCTCAGTGGTTGAGCGTCAACCTATGAACCAGGAGGTCACAGTTCGATTCCCGGTCGGGGCACCTGCCCAGGTTGCAGGCTCGATCCCCAGTGGGGGATGTGCAGGAGGCAGCCGATCCATGATTCTCTCTCATCATTGATGTTTCTCTCTCTCTTCCTCTCCCTTCGCCTCTGAGATCAATGAAAATGTGTTAAAAATAAAAACAGAAAGCCCCGTCCTCCCCGGGGAACATCTCCCCGCCCCGCAGACGGGCCGTCAGCATGAGCTGCGTTACCTCCTTCTCCGACCTCTTCAGGTGGTTGCACCTGTCCAGGAACTGGTACCCCGACATCACCCACTCCTTCTGGATCAGACTCTGGAACCCAGGGATTGTCCGGAAGTAGGGATCCAGCATCACTTGCACAAGAGACGCAACGACGCAGCTCAAGTCTCTTCCCTCCTCCTCTGTCAAGAAAACGGAGAGAAAATGAGGACCACACAGAGCAACGCGGAGAGAACGGGAAGGAAAGGGAGCGGGCGAGTCAGTGTTCTGTGAGGGGGTAGCTACTCGCAGTAGGCCTAAAAATTTTTTTAAATAAATAACAAAAAACCTCTAAAACTGTGTACTTACTACAAATTATTGACTTCTACATTGGGAAAGGGTGAATTTTATAGTATGTAAGTTATACCGCAATAACCTTTAAATAAACACATCTGTGAGACAGTTAGTCAAGCGCGGGCCATTTGTATCACAGCAAACGCCGGGGAACGTGCCGAGTGGAACCGTGCTGCGGCTGACACCCACCGGCGAGCGAGGAGACTCCCCATGGGGCTCCGCGTGCCCGAGCTCACACTCTGACAGTACCGCCAACCGCGACTGGAAGGCGTGCGCTACTATGGCTCCCCGAGGCTTTTAAATATCTTTATTGAAGCCGTTACATTTGAGAGCTTCGGCCGCATTGAGTATTCACCTCCTATGCAACGCGAATTGAGTGTGTTATCAGGAAGCTCATGGTTCATCAGACCTTATCCGTAAGCTTAGAAACTCTATTGGCTCTTGAGTTATCCAATACATAAGTACGTTTTGCTAACGGAAAGGTTTTATATTGCGATCATTCCTGCTAACCAGTAGACAAAATTCACATTCCTGGCTATCCAATTAGAGGCACACTGAGCCAGAACCCAGCACTCACACCACCATCTATATGAATGAGGTGGTGGCACGATTAGAGAGAAAGCGTGCGTGGCCCAGACGGACACACTGCGTGACTCCAGGGAGGTCGGGGAGCACCTTCCCCCGCACGCCGGGCAGAAAGCTGCCTCCTCCTGTTCTCCCCCGGGAGTCTCTGCGCTACTGGTTCCCTCTGACGTGGGAGACCGGGCGTGTGTGTGGTGGCAGTGTCGTCAGTTAGAGACGGCGGAGAGCAGACACGGACTGGAACGTGGACGGTGGTGCCCACGCTGGCGGGTGACGGGCCACAGGCGTGAGTTACCTTGGAGGACGACAGAGACTCGCCTGCTTTCTAGCGTGTACACAAGTTCTGCTGAATGTTTCAGGAATGCCCTGGGAGAGGAGAGGGAAAATTCTGTGAAAAACCCCATTTCCACTACAAAGGTGTTTTTTTTTAAGTCCTTGAAATCAAGCAAATCTAATCTTTCACTGTACACGTTTGTATTCTCAATAACGTTTATGGATTTCTTCAGTATTTATGTGATTCTTCAACAGAGAAAAGTCTGGTTTTCATATCAAGGAAATTCATTGACCTTTTAGAAAAGGAAGGAGTTGATTTAGACAACATTCTTGAGACGACGAGACGACAGAGATGGAGAGAGAGCAGGGGCTGCCAGGGAACGGGCTGGGAGGGGAGTGGGTGTGCGACTCTAAATGGGCAGGAGGGAGCCTGCACTGATGGGGTTTTACTGTGACTGTGGCGGTGGTCACAGGGATTTAGACATGTGGTAACAGCACACAGAACCACACGCACACGCACACGCACGAGCGTGTACACTGCTGAAGTGAGGAGCCTGCCGCCTGTACCCTGCCCATTTCCTGGCTGCTGGACCGCAGCCGAGTCACGGAAGAAGCGGCCATGGGGAGGCTGGGGAAGATGCTGGCTCTTGCACTATTTTTGCACCTCCTGCGAGTCTGTAATTATTTCAAAATATAAAGTCAAAGAAAAGGGGAAAGTGGTTGTACAAACCTCACATATTCTAGCCACCGAGTACCTTCCAGTGAGGACAACCACCTCTCTTCAGTCTCTTCAAAGGGCTCTGTGATAAAGACATAATTATATAGGCATGTGGTTACATGCACACACACACACACATACAAAGACACATTTAAGCTTAATTTTACATGATCAATACCAGAGCTAAGGGGAGCCATTTTTACTATTTAAAAGTGGCTTACATCTCAGTGTCTGTAAGGCAACACGTTGTTTTTCCATAAAAGCACCCACCCTACCTGTCATGATTTGAAGGTGATTTATTGGGTTCATTTTCCCTCCCAAACAGAAAGCATTTGTTTGTACTTCATTCTCTAAGCGCTCCTGACCTTCTCATACAGTAATAATTTGTACAAACATTTCAATAAACCTCTACTTAAATAAATCTATTTCTGGAATTTTAAGGAATATCACTTTTCCTGACATGCCTCATACAATGCTGTATTCCCCCATTCGCTACACACACACACACACATATATAAAAATAACAAAGAAATTACCATTAACACATAGCTGTTTAAGCTTCACAAAAGCCGCCTGTATGTCTTGGATGTTGGGCAGGGTCTTATCCAGATCTGACTTATAGACATCACTCCTCTGCGGGTGACTCTTGGTTATTGCATTGCAAATCCTGACGGAGACAAAACCCTTCCGTCACTCGTCGCTGGTTTATTCCACATACATTTCCTGAACACCTACTCTGAGCCCATCACTGCCCTCAGAGCTGGGGACAGAGAGATGAGCAAGACGGGCCAGGCCTCCGCCTCCATGGGTTTCCCTCCCTGGGGGAGGGGGTGTGGGTAAATGAGGAACTAGCGGGCTGTGGTGAGCGCCGAGGGTGGTGTGATCAGGTGAGCGCAGGCGAGTCCCCGTCCCGCGGTTAGAAAAGCCCCTGTGTAGCTGACACTGAAGCCAAGCCCAAGGAGCTGTGCACAGACCTGGGGGAAAGGGTTCTAGGTAGAGGGACAGCTGGTGCAAAGGGCCTGTGGCAGAGCCCGGCTGAGAGGACGTGTGTGAAGTGACAGGAGGAGGCGATGGCTCGGACACAGGAAGGAAAGAGAAAGAGAGAGAAAGGCATCAGGAGGGACCCCAGGTTCTGAGAGCAGCTGGGAGAGGCGCGGTGGCTGCGTCTGGAGTTGGTCTTGGACATGATGAGCTGACAGGCCTCTGAGGCTTCTTCTCTAGGCCTGGGGTGAGCTAACAGACTACCAGTCCCCACTAGTGTCGGCTGGTCAGCAGTTCACTGTATGGTGATCACCTCTGGTCGATCTTCCGCTGCTGCAGCAGGTCCTTGATGAGGGCCGTCCGCACGAGAGCACTGCCGTTCGAGTGGCTCCAGCACCAGAGCTGGAACGGAGGAGAGCCTCACGTGACCGGGCGGGAGACAGCCTCACGTGACCGGGTGGGAGACAGAGCCTCACGTGACCGGGCGGGAGACAGAGCCTCACGTGACCGGGAGGGAGACAGCCTCACGCGACCGGGCGGGAGACAGAGCCTCACGTGACCGGGAGGGAGACAGCCTCACGCGACCGGGCGGGAGACAGAGCCTCACGTGACCGGGAGGGAGACAGCCTCACGCGACCGGGCGGGAGACAGAGCCTCACGTGACCGGGAGGGAGACAGCCTCACGCGACCGGGCGGGAGACAGAGCCTCACGTGACCGGGAGGGAGACAGCCTCACGCGACCGGGCGGGAGACAGAGCCTCACGTGACCGGGAGGGAGACAGCCTCACGCGACCGGGCGGGAGACAGAGCCTCACGTGACCGGGAGGGAGACAGCCTCACGCGACCGGGCGGGAGACAGAGCCTCACGTGACCGGGAGGGAGACAGCCTCACGCGACCGGGCGGGAGACAGAGCCTCACGTGACCGGGAGGGAGACAGCCTCACGCGACCGGGCGGGAGACAGAGCCTCACGTGACCGGGAGGGAGACAGCCTCACGCGACCGGGCGGGAGACAGAGCCTCACGTGACCGGGAGGGAGACAGCCTCACGCGACCGGGCGGGAGACAGAGCCTCACGTGACCGGGAGGGAGACAGCCTCACGCGACCGGGCGGGAGACAGAGCCTCACGTGACCGGGAGGGAGACAGCCTCACGCGACCGGGCGGGAGACAGAGCCTCACGTGACCGGGCGGGAGACAGAGCCTCGCGTGACCGGGCGGGAGACAGAGCCTCATGTGACCGGGCGGGAAGCAGAGCCTCACGTGACCGGGTGGGAAACAGGCACCCGCGCTCTGAAACCCGACAGCTATCACTCACCGGCATCCTCCTCCCAACGAAAGAGTGGGAAAAGGTCTTCAGGTCCTGGTCGGCCAAGGAGCTGGGCACCACGAAGTACTCCGGAAGGCTGAGGGAGAAAGCAAACACCATCAGGGCCGTTTCTGGGCAGGGCAGGGTGCCCTGTGACCCCACGTGTCATCACACACCTTCCTCCCCACGGACTGTACACCCCACTTCGCAGCCATACAGTGGACACCGTGAGGGCACGGACCGTCCCAGACATCTCAGCAGGAAGCATGTCTGATGTGGCCAATTCCCAGGACATTCCTAGGACAGCAGGGAAAACCCAAAGGAGAATTTGGAAAGTTGCCCAGAATGACTATCAAGCAAACAGGCCTGAAAAGCATGCCCGCCTTTGCCCTCCTGACAGGTAAGGCACATGAACAAAGCAAACCCACCAATCTACCCAGAAGCTGCAGCGCCCTCCTCCCCACCCCCGTCCCTCCTCCCCCATCCAAAGCCAGGCCGACTCCAGGACCCCATCAGACAGCAGATACTCATGGGCAGCCCAGTGCCACTTAAGACACCGCCTCTCTCTTTCCTCCACTGGGCCAGGCAGGGGGACAGGCAGGCCTCGCCAGCCCAGGCGGGTGCTCCTCAACACGGGCCGGGCCAGCTGCCGCTGGGCCCTCTGCCAGTCACATCACAGCGACGCCCAGACCCACGGGATGAAGCAGGAGGTGCAGAGCGCCACCCCCTGAGCGCCTTGCCAAAGCCCTGAACCTGAATCTAATGATTCCCCAATTAAACCTCTGAATGGAGCTACCATGTTACAGGGAGGACAGCAGACAGAGGAACACACTGGAGGTCACCCCTGGGAAAAACCAGCAAGACTGAGAAAGTGGACAACTCTACAGAACAAATGACCAGGTTTTGGAAAAAAAAAAAAGAGGCAGCTAACAGGGTGGGCGGAGACTGTCATCATCTAAAGGCCGGAGAGTCCTCCCCAAGCTCACTGTGTTCCTGACCTGGACACACTGGCCCTGAAAGACACTGACAAGATGCACCCCCCCCACACACACACACACGGACTGGACTGCCCACGACAGCAGGAAGGCTGGCCAACTCTTTCAGTGGAGAGTGGTGCTGTCGTTATGTGAAAAAAAGCCCTACCTTCACTATAAAATACCCGTTAAAGCATTATAACAACTATCCGTGAGCCATGACCGCAGAGCCTGGTTGTCATGCATGGAGCCTGGTTCTCATGCATGGGGCCGGGACTCACCACGTGGATATCATGTAGCCCTCGTTGATGGAGCAGACCCTCCACCCGGAGGCGCCCGTCCGCTTGACTTCGCGGTCCCAGTCGGAGTACGTCTCAAAGAGGGGTGTCTTCTGGCTGCTGCCACCCCCGGCCCCGCCGCCACCGCCCGTGGGGATCCCGTTGAGTGTGTTGGCTACAAGAAAAAGCAGCGTTATTAGGTTTGCTTTCACAGTCCCGTCTCCAACACGCCTGTGCTCTCTCCTGCCGCAAACACCCTCAAGTGGCACCTCCTCCTCGTCCTGGGAGTCCCTCCGAGGGTGTCTCCCTCCTCCCAGCAGCCTGGCCCGGGCGCCCTCTGTCAGAGCACTCACTCGTGCTGTCCTCGCCCGTCCCCTCCGGAGCACCTTCCCTGTCCCGGCTCCGGCTCCGTCTCCAATGCCTCCCGGTCACTCTGGGCCACGCCAGCATTCTCCCTCCTCTCTCTTCCCGGCCACCTGCCCCAGCGCTTCCTCTCCCTTTACTGTCTCCTGTTCTCCGGAAGCCATTCATGAGCCTCCCTCGTCCCTCTGCCCCAAATCGGGCGAAATCCAGGTCACTGCTCCTTTTCTCCACGTGCTGCCTGGAAGAGAAATGCCCGCAGCAGGCATCTCTGCGCCCAGGCCGTCAAACCATCACCTTCATCATCAGCTGCTGTGGCTCACTGCACAGTCCTCGTCTTCCCCATCCGCTGCTTTCCTGTGCCGAGCCCACAGGGACCCTCACCCTGCACCGGAGAGCCGGGCCGCCCGGGACTCAGCAGAAAGGCCCGGGCTTGAAGCTCCGGAGCAGGAGCCCTCCCTACCGGGGAGCACGGCTCTCCTGGGAGCACCCACAGCCCGGGAAGATGCCCGCCAGTCAGCCCGCCTCCTGCCAATCTGGTGGCAGCCCGCACACCTTTCTGGTCCAGCGTCTCAGGGGCGGGCTGCACGGGGCGGGCCTCCCGGCTGACGC